TCGCTAAAGACCACGCACTGGGAGACAGTCAGGTTGCAAGACACGATGCCAGACTTCGATACAAGAAACTCACTGGTCGAGAGCGAATGCGCCCCAGAAAGTTGCAGCCTGAACCGCAAACTCGTCATCGTCTCCATCTTCCTCGAGCTGATGAAGTCCCATCTCGATAGCAAGACGAATGCTTTGCCCGGCATAGTACCAACTTTCCGAGTCTCTGCCACAGCTGGCTTCTCGAATAGACATGATACCCAGAGCTTGAATGGTGGTGAGATTGTGGTGGTTTTTCTCCTTGTAGAATAGACTTTGTGCTTCTTTGAAAAAGTGATCGCCAGAGGTGTACGGGTCGTTGGGATTCGCTCTAGTACTCGGCTTACTGGAGAAACGGCACCCGAGAGCCAAGAGCGCGTTGACGAGTATCGGGGAGCAATAGCGTTCGACGCCATTCTGGAAATCTCTGAGGAAATGCTCCTTACTCAGAGACGCAAAGGTTGGGTACTCCCAACAGAAGTACAGGGCCAGCAGATGTTGGACCAACGAACCATCTTCCGTAATGTTTGTCCATTCTTCGGGGGGCAGCTTCATGTCAGGCAATTCTAGCGGGGCTAGCACCTGGTCGGCGCCCTGATGCTTCGAGCCGCCTTCGGAGGCTTCCGTGTTACTCGCCGACTCAGCCCAGGTGTCGAACAGTCCCTGTGGCGGCCTATTGGTGTCTGCGCTCCAGTTCATTGCGTCGGGGTGAGAGTTACTTCGGGTGCTCTGGCTGTGTGATGAAGGGTGCCAAGGACTGTTCGGATCAATCTCCTGGCGCAAGCCAGACTGCCCAGTGATCGGACTCATGGCTACGGAGCCATGATCTCCTAGGTTCCTGGTTCTGATGGGCGCCGGATATCCACCTGGCCGAGTCCCTAAGCCTGCGCTCGCATCGCTGGACTGTTCGTTTGGGCGTGCAAAGGAAGTCCTTGCACCACCAGCACCAGCACCGCCTATCCAGTCCGAGACTGATTCAAGCGATTGCCCATTGCGCAATCGTTGCAACACATCCTCCCACATATCGGGGCGAACGAGGGCGGCTATGACCTGATCGCTACTTTTCTGGCGTTGGCGCAAATTCTCGAGCTCGGTTCGGAGATTCTCCTTGGATTGGCGGACTGGGACCTCGTAGACACATTCTACGTCCTTCTGAGCCTTGCACCGACCGCAAGGTCTTTGCCCGTCGCACTATTCGAAAAACTGTCAGCGCAAAGAAAAGCATAGGCGGGCACGGGGGTACCATCTGCTGCTGGCTTACTTTTGCTCGCTTTTTGCGACACTCGGTACAGGCATTGGGCGTGACCACTCCTAGGCCCCTCTTCCTCTTTTGCAGGTTAGCAGCACTGGAGCTGCTTGACGGCGTAGGCGCATTGTGAGGAGCGGAGGTTGAAGAGGAAGCGGTTGCAGGTGGTGCCCCCGCGGAGGAAGCAGAGCCGGCAGCGGGTTGTGGCTGCTGTTGGCTATCGGGTGCCTCCTCCATATCGGCAGGAATTGAGCGCTTCAGGTTGACTGGTTGTAGGCTCGAGCCGAGTCTACAGGGCGAACTCGACTTTTAGGACTTTGTTTGTGAATTGACATAATGAGGCCGTTCATAGGCGGGAGCTGGTCGTCATGGATCCGAGAAAAGAACAGAAACCTTCGGACAGGTATGGCCTAGGGAAAGTGCCACCCAGTAGCTACGTTGAGTGTCTGGATGGATCGCGCTAGGTACAGAGCTGAGGAGGAGGCGCGCGCAGGAAAGGCGTCCCGCGTGAGAATCGGACAGATCGCGGGAGGTGACCACGAAAGGCCGGATTGCGCAGCAGGTGAATTGACCTTGGCTAGCCGTGGGTGCTATCGTTGTCGTCGAGCGCCGGACAAGCGAGCGGTGTCAAGAGACGGGAGGACGGCAGGTTGACAGCGAGAACTGCCCCTCTTTGGTAAAGGCACTTGCTATCGAACCATGCGCTCGGTGTACAATTGGATATGCAATTATCCTGTGGAGCAAATGTATGTTGCACTTGAGAATTCTTGCGCGCCAACCGTTAGGATGTCATTGGGACCGTGGGAAATGGCGCGGGTGGTGAGTGACTGGAGAGAATGGGAGGCAGGGAGCGCAAAAATTGGGCAGCCCGTGATGGAAAGAAACAGGTGGTGGAAAAGGCGGGAAAGGATGGCAGTGTGCAGCGAACGGCCAGGTCGGGTCCCCAGTCAGAGAAGACGGACGAGGCGACGGCAGGAGGAAAAGACGGTAGATGAAGCACAGACACACAAGATGCAATCCCGTAATTAAGGCAGGTATTCCTTACGGAGGAGGTATCTTACGAATACAGACTGAGGAATCTTGGAAAGGGAAGGAAGGAAGCACGGAACGTCAGGTGAAGTACCTTCCTTACCTTGGCCTTGGTCCTCGCTCCTTGGGAAGGAGGAGGTACGGATACGTGACAGGGCAGCTCCTTCCCCAGATTCCCGAGCCTCCAGCCGCGCAAAGTCCAGCTACCTGAAATTGTACGGCACTCCCGTCTGAGGCGCGAGGGGTAGGTGAAACTTTTTTGCTTCCAAGGCAGGGCTGGGACGCCTCAGGCAAACCTGTAAGAAGTTGAGACTGACTTCTTTTCAGCTGAATCAAGTACCTATCTTTCTTTCTGTACTCTTGGAAATGACTGGCTAGCGGTGACAAAGGCAAGCAAGGCACACGCATTGAGGTAAGCAAGTAAGGTAAGATACGCGGAGCTTCGATTGGTAAGGGTGAAAATTGAGCTTCATGCAGCCAATTTACCTTACCGCCCCTGAATAGTAAGCATCCGCGATGTGGCTCTCTTGCTTATTCTCATCTTCGTCACTTTATATTAAGACCCCGATACCCTTCATGACCCGAAAATATTTCATCTCAAGAAGCACAAAGCCAAGCAAGTTGCGATGGTTCTTTTCAGATAAGCGGCACTACGTCACTCGTTAGCGGTAACTATCTCCACTTTCTCTGTGTAGCTTCCCAATCCCATCAGTTAGAAATCTGCCCGTCAACAAGTCCGAGCGCCAGTAAAGCGTACTTTTCGCAGGTTCTCAGTCCAAGCCTCAAGGCAATACCGTATTATGGATAAGGTGCCCGTATATCTCCTCCGTTTTCTACGTGTACCTTACCTCAACTGGCGATCCGACAGGCGAACGCACATTAGCTTGCTGCCGCTACCAGGAGAGAGCCGTAGGTCATCCTGATTTGGCTGCTTCTGAGCCCGGCAGTCGACCCTTCTGGAAGCCAGAGTTCCCCAACTCAGAGACTATCTCATTGCGTGAGGACCTACTTCAAAGTGAGATTGTGATGCTTCGGGTACCTCAAGCCTTGACAACTCCAGGCTCTGCAGCACGAGGGGTTCCTCAAGGGGTTCCTCGAGACCGATATCACGATCTCAGACCGGGCTGGAACTTTTCCTCCGCCGTAGTCCACTCTGGCGATGCTGAACTGCGATTATGGGGCATCGAGCATAACGCGTTCTGGCAAAAACCCTGGTCGGCGACCCTCACTGCGTCAGGGGTTTCCCTTGCCCACTAGAGCAGAGGTACCTGAGGTGGTTGCCAAGTTGGAGCTCCGATACGACGGTGTCCTGGCATATCTCTCATCGTGATTACCTAGGCGTCCCGAGGCTAGTTGTGGATGGATGGATTCTTCCGCCTGGAGCAGTCTGAAGTGTGAAGAGAATTAGGTTTTTGCTGCCCCCGCGCCAATAGACAACGAGGCCTTTGGTCTTGTATAGTTTTGCTCCGGGGCCTTACGTAGACATATATCCACGCGTGAAAAGAGAGAACAGTGAGGACGAGATGACATGGAGCTCCTTGTCTGGCAATCCCGGGTCCCGGGCACATATGGGCTGAACGGTTGAACGAGACCAAGTCCCAGCCCGAACATGCGCCATGCTAAGGCGTTTTGAAGAGACGGGAATACAGTACACTTCCGGAAGAAAGAATTAAGCCACACTAAGCATCCCACCTATGCCCAGCGCAAAGGCTCGCGACATCGTGGCTTGTGCGACCAACGCTTAGCTCGTTCACTCGCCCACGCGCTCTATCGTCGCCGAACATTCCACGGCGTTTGTTCCCCAACCCCTCTTCTCCGAGACAGATCCTAACTTCCCCAACTTGATCGGAAGCGAGTGTCTCTGCCGAAAACAGGGCAGCTTTTGGGGGTCCAACAGGTAGGTGATGCTTCGGGGTGGCAAAGCTCAGGGGTGACGGAATATACTCCGTCGCATGAGCTGGATGCGCTCTTTCTAAGGATGAGGTATATGAAACAGGTAGCTACCGGACAGTCAGTTATGGTCATGTTGAGATCTGCCGCGGACAGATGCCTTGAGAATTCTTACGAGGCTTCAGCAGTTCAGCCTCAAAAACTCGGGTTTCCTCCGCTCCAGCGCTGGTAAAGAATGCGATGCCGCGATTCAGGGATCCCCAATTCGAATGGTCCTGTCTGTTGGAAGTGGGGACAAATTTTGACAAGGCCGAATTCTCCGCCAAAGGCCATTTCTTTGACGTCATAAAATCGAACTGGGCCTAGCCCGATTATCGATAAGAGCAAGTCCTAAGCTGCTCCATCCAGATTTCTTGCTCATGTACCTTACCGAACGATAAGCTGGGCTCGGTGTAGGTAGTAAATGCGGCCTTTGCGGTCGTACAATGAAGGATATTGACAAATGAACTTTTTAGCATTGTGAGGAGTCGCAAGGATCAAGTTCCCGCGAGTCTCTGTGTGTTTACAAAACAACGTATCCTGATCGCCAGTGGAAGCAGTAGCCGAAGCCCACCCCATCTCGTCCCGAGCCTCCAGATGACGCCGCATCTGGCCCCCAAAACCTTGTTCCTGAATATGTACTTTATACAATTAAACCTTGCAACTCCAATCCCATGCATTGTGTACCCCTGTTTTGCTGTTTGCGCTCACTCCTCTGTAGGACAGTAAACATCCTTGAGAGCCTCATTGTAAGCCTACTTCTGCTGTCTCAGTAGCCCTTGACGGGGCTCAGGGCTCGTCCGTATTTCGTGGGGCTTCGCAGGCGATCGCGATCACCCTTGCTTGGGCTACGGCGCCCTGAAGGAGTCTGAGGCGGCATGATCGCCTTCATCTTTGGCGGCGATGCACCGTCGGTATCGGTGTCATCGTTGTCATACTGCAGGTGTCGGCGGTGCGATGGCGTCTGGACGGGAACCCACATGTACGCCTGAGAGGGTTCTGGTATCACTGATGGCTCGGGAGCCATGCCAGACGAAGCGCGATGTGATGGCGTAGGGCGGGATGGGCCGGCATTATTCGCCATGCGACCCAGAGCAAGATTGTTGGCAATGATGCTGAGGAAGACCACGCCAAAGAAGAAGAGCTGTGACTGTTAGCTGGGTTGTCATAAGATAGTAGTAGGAGATATTGCTTACCCAAGCCTTCATCTGCATGGCACCAGCAAATTCGTTGAGAATTTCGGCGATTTGCTTAACCGTGACCCTAACTCTCATGATGGCTGATGAGTCCTGAATCATACACTCAGCCCACTCATCGCACATGGCCTTCAGAGCAGGACGGTCCTTTTTGATGCACTCATTCAGAGTGTATTCCGTCCGGCACTGAGTGATCCTGTTCTCGATGTCCAATCGAGCTGCATCGTTGGCGTTTCGAATATCCGACCTCACAGAGTCGAACATGGTCCAACAGACGAACACAAAGCCCGATACAATGGCGCAGTTGATCAGAAGTTGAATCCAGCGGTAGAGATTCTCGGGCGCATTTGGGTGTTCCTCCAATGTGTGGAAGAGATTGCTGATCCAGCTGCGGTTTTTCTTCGTCTTTCTGCTGCCCTTCCCACCACGCGCACCTGCCGAGCGGGATCCACTGTCGTCTGAGTCCTCCTCCGACTCATCCCAATCCTGTGATCCGTGGAACCGGACGCTGCCGACGTCCCTGTCCATGTTGTGTCGCTTCCGCTTCCTTATAGCGGGGTAGTCTCGTCCACTTCGGGGGATCTCGCCCTTACCGGGCACATGGCGCTTCAATGACTGAAGGCCAGCCTTACCGTAGCGAAGGTTCTTGTTGATCTTGGACGGAGTGATGGTGCCCATGTTCATGTCGCCGAATCGATCGACGTCGGGCGTGTCGTCTGGAAATTCCGAATTTTCCGTCAAGGCGGGGCTAGTCTCTGCGCCTGAAGCTTCCGAAAAGGCGCTCTCGTCGAACGGTTTGCGCGGGGTAGTGAAGGCAGGGTTTCGGAATGGCGGCGCGGTGTTGCTACTTTGTATTCGAGGCGAGAAGAGAGACGTCTGTGGTAAAGCTGGAAGCGGCTTAGATGGGGTGTTCGCAAAGAGGTTCGGCTTGGATGGGCTGGAGAATGGGTTCGGCTTGGAGCTTGTGGCAAATTTGTTGGGCGAGTTGAAGACTGAGTAAAGGCAGGAAAGTCAGTAAACATTCTCGAAATAGAGGCCAGCGGATGACCTATGACGATGGTTGGGATATCGTGACTGGGGTGTGAGCTCACTATTCTGATTGCTACTTCTCGCAACGTGGGAAAATGGACTGGTTGCATCTAGGGGACCTCGGTCCTGATATTCCCATTCCATGGGACTTTCGTAGGTTCGGCGATCCATTGTGAACTTCTTTGCATGCGACAATCTGGGAAGACAAAGTGAAGTGGTGATATGGGTGGGAAGTGCCTAGCAGCTCTCGTCGCGATCGGTCCGGGGGTGGCGGCCAAGGGTCGAAATATTCTGAGGTAGCTGCTGTCATGAACAAACCACAGTTCTAGAAATCAAAGTAAACAAACCGTGCCTCAGGCAACGGAACCTCCCGGTGGCTTCGATCTTAGCTCTTTGGGACTTGGTGGAGTACGTACCGACGTGAGCCAAGAGCATCTTCGTGCACTAGCCACAGCTGAGCAAAGACGGTGATCCACCATCTGGGCACCCTGTGGCTGGTGACACCTTCCCAGTCTCTTTACGACTTGAGCTTGGGCCATCGGAAAATCGAAGGGCGACGACGGCGAGGCAAGGCGGCTCTTTTTACACTATCCATTTCATTGAATCCAACCTAATTCTCACTCATCAACCCCCAGAGTCGCGCTTCGAATACTCCTCCATAGCGTGCGCGCATCTGAATCAGCCACAATGTCGGATATCGAATCCCTCCCCGAGTCTCCGGCGCCCGACCGCGATGATGAGCGCCGCGAGGATGCCGCCAACGTCTCCGACGACGACTTACTCTCAGAAATCGACGAGGATCAGTTCGAGGACTACGACCCAGAGACGGCAAATATTGAGGATCGCCCAGTAGCTGTTGATGAAGATGTGGCCAAGACGCTCAAGGCGTCGAAGCGCAAGATTGCCGATGGCGCAAAAGCGAAGAAGCCTAAGGAAGGACGCCGAGAGAAGAGATCACGCGATGACGAAGTCTCTGGTGATATGGATATCGATTCGAGAGGCCCGGCCAGAAAGTCGAGACGCCAGGCCGATGCCGGCGAGAGGAAGCCGCGGCCCAGCAAGCCTGCCGAGCCTGAGATTGATGATGAGTCCCATCTCAGCCCCGAGGAGCGCAGACGGAGAGCGATTGATCGGGCGTTAGACGCGGCCATGAAGGGACCGGTCAAGCGCAAGAAGAAGAAGGACGAGATTGTGGGTGCCATCGCGTTATTTGCGGTCTTGGGAGTGCTAGCTTACGGTGGACAATGCAGGACCTCGAGGACGAAATCGACGAGGAGATTGCCGATCTCAAGGTTGCCATGGAGAAGGCTTGCGAAGCTGACAACACGGCGCGCGAGGCTGGCCAGCCAGCCGTTCACAAGCTGAAGCTCTTACCATCAGTGACTGGTCTCCTGAACAGGAACAACATCCAGCACGCCATCCTCGATCCCGACACCAACTTCCTTCAGCACGTCAAGTTCTTCCTCGAACCTTTGAACGACGGCAGTCTTCCGGCATACAATATCCAGCGCGATATTTTCACTACTCTTATCAGACTCCCAATTGAGAAGGAGACTTTGCTGAGCAGCGGCATCGGAAAGGTTGTCTACTTTTACACCCGATCCAAGAGACCTGAACCCAGCATCAAGCGCATGGCCGAGCGTCTTCTGGGTGATTGGAGCCGACCGATCCTCAAGCGGACCGACGACTACAAGAAGCGCCACGTTGAGACGCGCGAGTTCGACTATGAGTACGTCATAATCATGAATCGCCTTCTACTTACAATGCTAATAGTATCACTCCAGAGCTCTCAAGATGTCCCAGCGCCAGGCTGGAAGTTCCCAGTTCACCCTCACGCAGCGCCCGTCCCAATCCGCCAGAGAATTGGAGCGCGAGGCCATGCTCGCACCCGTCGCCACGTCGAACCGTGCCCGTCCCGGCGGTCTCCCCGACAGCTACACCATCGCGCCCAAGAGCACCTACGATGTCTCGCGGGCGCCCGAGCATCGTCCCATCGGTGCTGGTGGTCTAGAGGCGTTCCGAAAGATGACTCAGAACCGCAAGAAGCGGTAAGGCAACAAAGAGGGCATGGTAGCTGCCAGGATAGGCTGGAGATTAGCCAACATGGGCCCCCGGGAGAGGGGCGATGATTTTCCTTCACTGGGCTTGATGAAAAAGAAGAGCTCAACACTTGTATTATTTGAGCATCAAACTGGCGTTCCGGGGACGAGGGCTGTGACAAGCAAGAGATTTTTTAGGAATCGAGAGAAGAAGAATGCAAACATTTCAAGGAACCGAGTGAAGAGGCCTGAGTTTTTTTCCGATTCTGACATTGTGAGACATCACCAGGTATTTCTGTTCACGCCCTGCACGAAAGTAGGTATACGTCAAGAAGGGTGTGGCGTGGCTCACATTGAAGTTCATCCAGGTACCAGGATCCAGCGCATTGAAGCAAGATGAAGGAAAGGAACGCCCATGCGACTGCCTCTGAACATCGCATCACCTCCTTCCATTGAACATACGTCTCTCTCCATCTCCTTCTCCATCAGAGTACATCCATCATCAAGATAGCACTTACAAATCACAGGCGTGCGTTCGAGGCACGCATTACTTGTTGGAAAAAAAAAAAAAAAAGGAAACCCGACAATGGTTCGCAGCACACAAATCATGTATGTTCATTGTAGGGTAAGAGCTTCCCATTTGTCCCATCCTTTCCTATTCTCCTAGATTCTATTCGTTGTGTCCGACAAAAACTGTCAAACTCTGTTTATGCTTCACCACTTATGGCCTGGCTTTCTCCATCCCTTATATGCATCCCCCCATTGCCTTCCATTTTCCTTTGCTTTCCTCTCCTTTCCTTCCTTCTTTACCTCCTCCCTCGGTCATCATCCTCTCCTTCCCCTCTGTCAATTGCAGTACTTTCATCAAGTTGTAAGTTTTGGGTGTATAGCAGCGAACAAAGCGCTTCTGTGTTAGGCACTTGCAAGGAGCGGAACCTCGCGCATTGTGCTATAAAAAGGTTGCGAACATCAAGCCAAAGTCAGGGTACAACAACGCTGGCGACAAAGATGCAGAAATGCTGATGATGCAATGCAGGGGGAGAGTGGGAGCCCGTGACCGTTCAAATAAATTACGTTAATATCTTTGGTGGCACCCCTGCATTCAAAGCGGTCATCGTTTCTGACTCTCCCTACCGTTTCCGCACCTCAGTCGCCCAGCCATCGATGCCCTCGCCTCGGCTGCCAACCTCGAGCCCATTGATTCGCACACCCTTCATTCCCGGCGTGTCGTCGAGCCACACATGCCCAGCCATACCTCCAGCATTGGCACGCTTCTCAGGTACCAGCTCAAGCATGGGCGTGAGGAAATCGGCAATGCGCTTTCCCTCCTCCTCTTTGAAATGATATTTCTCACGGAGGACGTCTGTCAGAGCCCAGTGGCGCAAGCGGTGAATATTTCGCAGTTCGCCTTTTCGGTTGAAAATCTCTTGGGACCACTTGCCAGACAGGCAAAGTGACTTGGGGAAGGGTCCCAAAAGCTCGATAATCTGTGCAATGTGGTCGTCGTCCTTTCCATACTTGGTTCCGGATTGAGGGTCAAAGAGGTAATCTCCTGTGATGAGTTCGAAGACCTGAGAGTTTATCGTTAGATGGAAAAGATCAAAAGTACCTGCTACGACCCAGATGGGTATAGCACTGAGTAGGTCATGCTTACCATTGCTGCCATACTCCAAACATCGGTACTGGCGCCCCATTTCGCGCCCAGAATGACCTCAGGCGACCGATACTGCCGGGTCTGGATATCATTGGTAAAGTGGTGGTTGACCCAACAGGCGTTGCCCAAATCCGCAATCTTGACGCTGATAACATCGAATGCATGCGCATCATCCGCCTTGCGCTTATCCCCTGAAGATGGTGAGTTGGTCTTGTCGAGTGAAATGCCGGAAACTTCCTTTGTGAGGAGATCACTGTGGTGAGAAAGAGCGGTCAGTATCAGATGAACCTCTTCCACTATTTGGCCAGGTGGGGTAATGCTCACGCTGTCTTTTCGCGCGTCTTTTGGTCAGCGTCGCGCTTGGGGGAAGCGTTGCTAGATGTCTTGCCATCTAAAATCGCAGCAAGAGTCAGCATGCGGTCGCTAAGCAGAACGTGATGGGGGTAGAAGAGTCCATGGGGCGATAGGCCCGTTTTGAACGAAGTGGCGGTGTTGAGAGGGGGCGCGTACCTTCGTGTAGCACTTGGCTGAGGCTGGAGTTGGTGCTAGGGAAGAGGTTGTTGTGGTTGAAGCTAGCATTCAGAGGAGACGGTAGCGGCTGGCTGCCTGTGATGAGAGTGCGTCTCCTCCTGCGACCGTTTCTGTTGTTCTCTTTGTCGCCAGGTTCGCTCTTAACGACCTTCTTGACAATCTGTTCAACGTCACCAATTTCGATGAGGACGTTCTCGGGCTTCAAATCGGTGTGGATAATGCCACATTCGCGATGTAGGTAGTCGAGGCCGAGCAGCACTTGCTTTGTGATTTGCTTGACCAAAGCCGTAGGGATACCTCGGTGATTCCATTTCTTAATGAGACCCAAGAGGTTCTCGCCCAAAACTTCGAACACCATGCAGACGTGTGTGCCGTTGGGACCTTTGTGTTCAAAGGAGTCGAGCAAGCTGACCACATGCTTGCGGCCGGGGTGGTCTGGCTTGGCCTGGACAATCTTGTTGAGGAGCTTGATTTCGTCGATGGCGGTCTCGGTGTAGTGCGCGGCAGAGCGAACAACCTTCAAGGCGACATGCTTGCCAGAGTTGTTGTCTCTAGAAAGCCAGACGGTGGAGAAATGGCCCCATCCAAGCTTGCGCACGATGGTGTACTTTCCGTCCTTGAACTTTTCACCAATCTGGACGGGGTGGTAGCCGCCCTTGCAGTAATCCTCGGAATCCTCCTCATCGGCTGTATTCTCGGCGGGGTCTTCGCCTGATGATGTCGAAGTCGGCGAGTTCTGCATGGCAGCGGACAATTGATGGGTTCTATCAGAGGAAAAGGAGTTAGCTTCAATGTCGCAAGTGCCAGTCTGTGTAGCAGTGGTTCAGGTCATGGCGCGCAAATTGGCAACAAGCGGCGTCGTGTCTGTGATTGAAATGGCGGGGGTGGAGAATAGCAGGTCGGTGGGCAAAGATTTCGCAGCCGCCAGACGGGCCACGGAATGCGACAACGGGAGGAGAAGGAAGAGCAGAAACCTTGTCTTTAGGAAGCTCATGTTTGCAACATTGCGCATCCGGCGCGAACAGTCCTATAGCAAAGAAAGGAATGGATCGAAAAAGAGGATCGAACAAGCCGAGGACCGAGCGATGGGAAAGATCGAAACAACAAGCGGAAAAAAGGGAAATTTGGCAGAAATGATAGCCAGGACAAGATCCAGTGCGAAACTGGTGCCGTTCACAACATGGGAAAGTGAAAAGGTAGAATGAAGTGACAGCGGCAAGTCCAGTCGAAGGCCGACTAGGGTGGATAAAGAAAAGGTTGAAAAGGGAAGATGGATGGGAGGGAAAGGATGGTAGGTGGAAAGCGGTCGAGGCGAGGCGAGGCGGCGGGTGAGGCGCGGGATGTGTTCAGCCAGCAAGAAAAAAGGCAAATAAAAAAATAAGAACAGCAGGCCAGCGTGGTTAAGGCCGATAAGGTAGGTAGGTAGTGAGCAAAGAAGGTTTTTTTTTTAAGAGGCAGGTATCCGTAAGGCAGGTACGTAGGAAAGATACAATGCGTGCGTGCCGTTGGTGCTGCTGCTCGTTTCTTGTATGTTCTGTGTTCCTCTCTCTTTCTCACACACACACTCTCTCTCTGTCTCCGGTATCCCCAACTAAAAGGCACTGAAAGCGGGACACTCTGGACGGATAAGGCACAGAAAGGGCACCCCAGTCGGTAAGGTAGCAAGAAAAAAGCAGGTAATGAGAGGAGAGGAGGGGTCAGTGATGTGAGTGAGGAGAACGGGCGGGAACAGCAGGCCAGGAACGGGGGGTCAGAAGGTGGTCTGGCGACGCAATAAGAATCCCAGGCCTGGGCCACTTGGGCCAGGGTCGGGTAGCGTCACCTCAGGGTCAGGGTGGACGGTGAGGGTCAGCGGGGACTGCCCACCTCAAAGCCAGAGCAGATCGTCCTCCCGTCGGGTTCAGGTTGTATTCGCAGTCGCGTCAGCAGCAGCAGCAACAACAACCTGCCAGTGCCACCAACAAGCAAGCAAGCATGGCACTGGGATACCTTTACCGCGCCTGCACCTACCCCCAAGCCACAACTTGGTAGTTGGGGTGTTGGGTGAGCGAGTTGAGGATTCGTGATACCTCTCTCAGACCACCATGTGAGGATGATACCAGCTTGGTATGCCGACCTCTAGTCTCCAACAGTGAATATTCACAGTCAAGTGCGTCTGTCAAATGCAAAGCAGGCCAAACCAGTCCAGTTCAGTTGAGTCCAGTTAGTCCTGTTGAAGATGACCGATGACGGTGACGGTCATGTCTCGCTCGTCAAAGTGGTGGCGCCAGAAACGTTCCCGCGCCGGTCGGCGCACCTAGTATGCCAACATGCCACCACCACCACTAAGTATGATGCTTTGCGCAGCATGGAGCGCAGTCTTGGCCATCTCTCCTCCAAAACGTTCCGGTATCTGCCGTCGCACAGGCGGAGCGCAGTACGAGGCATATCAACAACATGCACCGCCAACTTCCAAGTGCTTGCTACGCTTCTAGGGTTGTGGTGATGCTGCTGCTGACGCTGCTGCTGCTGAGTTACCGGGCGGTGGTGGCGACAGCTGGCGACCCGTAATATCTGCGGTGTGGAGGAGCCGTCCATTCTTTCTGGCTGACGTTCAGCGCGCCAAACAAACGTCCATCTTGGGTTCGGCCAATGGCTTCCCTGTGCAACGGCAACGGTAGCATCCAATCCAGAGCCACCATGTCGTCGGGTATCAGCGTTGGTCCCACTGGATGGACCCCCTGAGCATCTATTCGTTGTCTGTCGTCTCATCGTGCTCTTCTTCCACGTCTTTGACAGTGCTGTCGCAGCATCTTTCGAAGGCGGTCCGTTGCTCTGCATATGTCCAGATGCCCGGGTGTGAGACAAACTGCGCGGCGCGGTGCTGGGCACATTGACTGGACACTGCCCTATGCTTTCGCTGTGCCGTGTGCCAAATCGGACTGGGCCGAACTGAACTGGATATGAACTGAACTGAACCGGACTGGACTGGACTGAATTGGACTTGGACAGGGCCTGTCGGACTTGACAGGCTCAAACTCGCCTGGTCTGTGTTGCTTGGCCCCCCGTACTTCGCCCCGCCATACGGATGGAGCGCAGGGAAGAACGTGCGGCACCGGGCGCGGCGCTTTTAAGACAGGATAGAGGGGTAACAGTGTGGATGGTGGAGGATGTTGAAAGGGTGATAATGTCCTGTGTAAACGAAGCTTGGGGCGCTAAATGGCAACAAAATTGAGGTAATGAAAACCAGCAATTTGCAACTTCCCCGCCATCAACGGTAACGGAAATAAAACAACAATGCGGCATGAAGAGTGCAGGGCAGAGCAAAGCAAAAGACAAGAAAAGAAAAGGAAAAATTTCTTGGTCAAACTTACGGTGGTGTCTCGGTGGTAATAATGGGCTTCAGGCTCTCCTTCTTGCGCTTCTTAGCCGCCGTCGACGAACCATTGGCGTTCGCAGCAGCATTAGCATTGGCGGCTGCTGGCTGCAATGGCTCTTGTGCGACAGCGTCTTGGGTCTGTTGAGTGCCGTTCATGATGGGCTGTGTGGAATGTGCGAGCTGGAATGCGAGGTGTCGTCCGGGTCGGGTAGTGTGGGGGACAAGTTGGGGGGATAAGTCGAGCTCGAGGGTCCAGACTGGCAGTTCGAGGGCGGCGGTGCGCGCCGCTGTGACGGCCTTGGATTGGTGATGCTTCGTCCTGTGGTGAGCAGACTAAGCTCGGGTGTCCGATTGCAGCGCAGCGACTTGAAGCAGCTGTGCGCAGTGTCAATCCGCTATTCCCGTCTGTGATGGCTAGCCTCGCGCCTCGATTGGTATGATATCAGACAACGTGACAGTCGATGCAGGTAGTCCCCGCGAGAAGATGACAGTCGAACAAGTCGGGCTGCCGGTCGTTGGCAGTAGTTTGGTGGGGTGAGAGAGAAAGTCAAGAGACACGAGCCGGAGAGGTCGAGGCGGGGGAGTGAAGACCAAAAATGACGAGCGGGATTTTGCGAGAGGGGCGCAGCGGCAGCGTCGGTGTGCGATGGCGACCGAGAGCGTGGCGACAGGCTCCACGGAGGAGCAAAGAGAAAGTGTGTAACTGGATCTAAGGTGCGTCCAGTTACTAGCAGCACGCGGGTCTGCGACAGCGATTCATCAGATGTGTTGCGCTGTGTTGAGATGGGATGCGACAGGGTCGTTTGTGTTTGGGGACCCTTAGACTTGCGCGATATCCTAACGTCGACGGTTGTCGTGATTGTGGTGTTCTCGAGAGCCAAGTGGAGTGTTTGGTTATGGCTTGTGGCTCGTGGTTGCGACGTGATCAGGCGATTGCGTCCTCGTGAGGAAAGCCAAGGTAGTCTCGCTGCTGTTATTGTTCGTGGTTGTGTTGGTGAATCGAGCTGAATGAAATCCGAAGGTCAGTGATGTTGTTGCGCCTAGGTGGCCAAGACGGAAGGCGCGAGCGGGTGAAGCAGGAGCGCGGGTGATTGGTAGAAATATGGAGTGCGACTTTGGATTATTCCCTGTAGTGTATGTGGACAGCGTGCAGTGTCGAGAGAAAACGGACAGCTGGGGATGAGTCGAGCAAGATCGATCGCGATACGAAGTCTTTAGGTACGGGTAGGCGTGGTCTGAGCTTGGATGATATGGGGAGCGACCGGAAGATGACGAGGTTCGGTAGTCGGGGTGACGCTGGCGGCTGGCGTTCATGTAAAGGGTGGTAATTAGGTATCTGTCGTGTTAGATAGAGGTAGAGGAGGTTGGCGGGATTGGGGTGATGGTGAGGTATCTGCAAGGCAAGGCACGAAGCTCTGATTGGAGGAGTCAAGGTATTGCTGAGGGTGAACCAACGCAGGAAGGTGGCTGCTAAGGTAAGTAAGAACCGGGAAGAAGGTGCAAGACACGGCGAGGTCGAGCGAGGTGATGCGGATGCAGAGGGGGGCAGGATGGGATGGGATGGGGGGTGATGGGATGCACAAGGCAATGGGATGGATGGATTGATGGATGGCGGGGAATGGAACAGGGCAATCAGAGAAGTGGCGTCTCAGTTCGAGTCGAAAGTCGAGAGTTGCGGCAATGAAGGTAAGGAATTGATTGAATCAATCAGGGCCCTCTCTCTCTCTGTACATACACGTCGAACAGCGCAAAGGTGAGGTGAAGCAAGGTACCTTGGCCCGAATCCGCACTACAAGGAGCTGAGGACGTCATTGATGGGGTTGTTGGGCGCAACACGGCGGGAGAGAACTTGAATGCGACAAGCAGCTGATGCGACCAAGTCGCCGACCGCAATTGGTGACGGCAGATGGTGGGGGTGGAACATGTAGTTCGGAACCGGGGTGAGGGAGGGGAAAGCGACTGAGAGAGAACAATCGGTGAAGAACAGTCAAATCATCTCAGTCATGTTAATAAGTCTCCAGAAACCCAAAGAGACAAGGCCTCACTTTGATGATTACCGAGCCTCCGGTTTGTCTTAGCGACATGAGATGAAGATGCCATCTCAGCCTGTAGACCATCATGATATTGCTCTCCATCCTTCCAAGGGTTCCTTTGACCACCTGTATGTACGAAGTACACATTATGTAAGGTACGGAAACATCGCCTCTGTATCAAGCAAGACCTTACAAACCAAGGTACCACCTAGTTACGAGTGAATCAAATCGCCAACAAACACTATCCGTCAAATAGCCAGTAATGAAGCTTTTATCGCATGCAGTCATATCGACTCATAAACATTGCAGCCTTTTTCATGTGCCTGGCTGGCATCGAGACATTTCACAACTGACTGGGCTCGTCTTCCAAGCCCGTTCTGGGCGCATTCAAGCATTTCCATTCCATAAGAATGAACTGGGAGGTACCTCTAAGATAAGATAAGGTAAGGACAGTCCAATCTACCTTTATCGATAAGAAGCTCAGATCGCAGTCTCCCCTCTTCACTCGTAACCCCTGCCGTCTGCCATCAGCTAAGACACTTTTCCTCACCTTCATGGCCAAGAATTGGCGTGCGATACTCCATACCCTGTGAGAATTTCCATCTGAAGGATCCCCCAAGACCTCACGACCCAAGTCCACCACACCGGCTTGCCTTACTGAGAGGTCCCGGCAGAACCAATCATACCTTGCTCTCTCGTTGACGCATGCCATCATATCGTCACTAGCCACCGGGAAAGTCAGTGGGGACTCTTTACTTTATCTCAAGTGCCTCCAGTCAGGTCTGAACGGAGTCGAACAAACGGATACAATCTGTCAAGACCCGAAAGCTGACCTCATCTCTTAGCAAGAACAGAAACCCGATACCCCCTTGACGTTGCTGACCCGGCCGTCTTTCATCGAGCAATCCATCTACGACATGTTCTAGTTCTCTACTCCGTACCGATGGCCCAATGGCCAAGTCCACCGACGCCCCGTGGGAGACTTATTCCCTGGCTAGTCAAGGTACTGCGCAACATAGCCAGGGCCTAGGGCACGCAACGCAAGCTGCAACGGGGCAAAGCGACCAACGCCCCCGATGTCGTACAGACCTGATCCGACTCGACACTCGACACTCGGCACTCGATGCAACCAGTTAGTTGGGCGTTTTCAGTTTGGTCGAGTCGTACCCAACGTCCTGAGCACAAGTGGCACCATCACCATACCTACCCGACTGTCGGGTTCAGCCCGTCCTGAGCTTTCTTTAACTAAAAACACAACTCTTTGTCACTCATCGGTTGCGGAACATACATGGCGGCATCGCCTAGCTTGTGGATATGTCGCAGTCTAAGCTCCGGTTTCTGATTCTTTTCTAATTGGATGCAGTCTTCCCCCATGGTAAAGAGATCAACCAACGTCTGCAGGCTATCCCCTTGTCTGCTTGACCCATCCCGCACGAGTCGAGAACACCTACAACAGACATTTTCCTTGCATCTTGACCGCATCTTACCCGTCCGCTGGGCCCGGTGAGAGAAGAAAAAGTCTTTCGAGCTCTGATCTTGAATTTTTTCAAGGGTCTCGAGAGTTCCATGGCCAGCCACCCAACGTTGGGCAGTGATTTTTTAGCCATCTCTCAAAGACACGCAATATCTGCCCCTGCTGCCGTACTCACCTGGCCGAGAACTTAAGTGGCATTCGGTCGCGCTTGTTTCTTCCTTTTCTCGACCTGCCACCTCGCCTCCAAGCTGCCCATAATTCATCTGATAAGCATCATCTCGTTGGCCAGCGCTGTCAGTCACAGGGCTAAGTCGAGGTGCTTGCGGCTTGTCCAGGCACCGCCCCTTATTGGACGTGCCTGTTTCTACTCGGCGCCTATTGCGGGAGGAATCCCAGACATGCAGTCCAGAGCACAGTAACCCATCCTTAGCGTTTTCTTTCCCTTCATGATCGCTCCATGCCATCTGTGGCCGCGAGAGGTACACCCCGCACGTCCATGTGAGCAGCTCACTGGCACTGTTCTGTCTGTCACCTGTCACGTATTATCCACTGCAGTAGAGCCTCATACCCAACCCAACGCGAATCTCCTTCAAGGAGCGCCAGCACGATGTCATGTGTCACGCCCTACAAAGGTGGACAACACATGGTAATGTCAGGAGCTCGGGCCCGCTCATCGTCGTTGTCGTCGAGAAGCCGCGTTTCCCTGTTTGACAAGACCGAATTCCGTCTACTGCAGGGCTGCCGCATGCTGTGTTTGAGAAGACAAGCTGTGCCACTATCAACCCGGTCTTGGCACACTCGCTTCTGGGCTAGTCACCCGGATCTGTGACCCAATATTTCGAGATTACGCATCTCACTGCCGTACTCACTTGGTGTCAACGTCTCATCTTCTATGATGTGACGACCTGTGTGAAGGAAGTTGCGAAGTCTTCCTACAGAGCGCACTGCTATTTCCTCGCTTGGCAATATCTTGCTCGCTAACTCAGCCTCTCTCTGCAAATTCGAGTTACATCATCAAGTGGGACATGTGGGAAAGGTCTGAGTTGCTCAAAGTAGTCAGTGCAATCAGCGAAACAATGGCTTATCTTCGTCTGGTAGGACCAGAGCAACAAAGTCATTCAACAACGGACTCGCGTCTCAAGAGCGCAAAGCTGGAATGACAAACCGTTGAAGACACGGTCTTTGTAGTCATGTCAACGTGTTTGGCTGTCCATTGTACACAAATGCCAAATTTGTGGTGGCATCTTTGACCTAGGTGAAAGACGAATGGCCCGGCAGAAAACACAATGTCGTGCCTTTCTTTGATCATCAACATATTTCGATGCCTTCCAATCGTGATTTGGACTATATGTTCGAGGAGAGTCCTCGTGGAGAGAAAAGTTTCGTTTTGCAGACCGTAGACCTTCTTCACTTCAAATCAAACATTCTTATCGTACAGTATCACTATACCTTTGTGTCATTTACCTCTGTCGAATACTCTCACACAACACCCAGCATATATCACAATACCTTTGCCAGTATGGGTTTGCGTAGTACCATTGTGTCCAAGCTGGTCTCTGGGCACAACGGCAACACCAAGATCAATTTTAACAATGGCGCAGACGAGCACTTCACCCGGCTCATGAACTCGGCTTTAGAAGAGCGACACATCCTGCCCAGGTGGACTTACGACGAGCCTGAGGTTGACGCCACAATTCTTGAAGTCAACTTTGCTCAACCATGTAAGAGAACCAGATCAACCTGGCCCAGCGACTACCACTTTCAGTCTATCCATCCACGCCGCCCATCCGTCACACCAAATGTAGCGGTACACACTGACTTGGCCAACCTGGCTAGAAGATTCGACATCCCCATCAACGCCCTGCACAACTTCATGCGCTTCCCGCCTGTCCGCGCCATTGTTCGTACCCTCCTCATCGAACTAGAGCACCCTGACGCGCAATCCTCGCCGCAGCTAGACGAAGTCGCGATCCTAGACAGAGTAGACGACATCGTCTCCAACACGGATCCTTCAGACCGACGTATGTACCTCAACCAGGTCACGAGCCCGGGCCCGCAGTTCGCAGATAGAGCCCTGATCCTCTGCCTCGTCAAACTCTGCGCCCAATTCGAGGGCTGGAATCGCTGGGCGTTTGGGTCCCGCCGCTCGACGATCCAGGTCTTCATGGGCGTCGTAGGCCTCTTTTGCAACGCGTGGGTGAAGGCGCCGACTGTTGATGCCTCGTGGTCGCGGGCTGGTGCCTCTTCTCTGCCTTCCTTTCTCTCGTCTAAGCGCTTCGGTGTATGTGAGTCTGAGACTCCATCTCCGCAGAGTAGACTCACTCCCGAGATCTGGTTCGATTGGTCCCTCCTCTTCGACCCCTGGCTCAGACAAACTAACGCGATCCAGCTGCTGAATCCAGAACCTATATCCGTACCGCTGTCGCCCTTCCCAGACTGCCACACGAGACACGAAGCTATAGTCGTGACGGACATCACCCAGCCGGAACCCGAAAAGCAGGGCCGGGTCGTGGTAAAGTACCACGACATCACGAAGCCCGACGAGGAGCGCTGGGCGTTCCGCTCGATTCTGGACTCGCGGTGGTCCGGGTCCGGTAAGACGCCGCGGACGGGGCTGCAGTATCTCGTCGAGTGGGAGTACGCTGAGCCGACGTGGCAGCCGGCGAGGGATCTGCAAGGCTGCGATTCGTGGGTGTTGCAGTTTCATCGGGAGAATCCTGGCAGGGCTGGGCCTGTGGCCAGGTTGAGGCGGGCTTTGTGAATGTGAAAGGAGTGTATTGGTTGATGGGCGGATGTTGGGTCGTGAGGTTGGTACCCTTAACGTCACCTCATTGTTGCATTTCTGGCATTGGATAGTGTTCGGCGTTCAGAGCAAGTGAGTAATGTGCCACATTAAGGGGCGTTCGAAGAGACTGTGGACCCCGGAATTCTCGGGTCGAGATCGCTTTCATATATTCTTGATACCCTACGTTGCTTACCTATTCTCCCGTCTCATTTTGCTTCTCTTTTGAGGCTTTATGTCTCATTACCGTGACACTTGCGACTGAAACCAATACTCCAATTGCTTCTGAGCGTACGTTTCACACGCTCGTCAGAACGCGATGGTATACTTGGACATACTTCTAACCTTTGGAGACAAATCTATGCATACATTGTACTTCTTGCTTCTTGCTTCGGAAGAGTATTTACATACTCCCCCCCTGCCAAACCCTCATTTCTTGTATCTCTTGACGGTTACATTAGATGATCCTTGACTTAGCGTCTGAATCTACCGCATCCTCTACATACGCATTCAAGTTTCTAGTCCTAGACTGCTTTCCTTCATCCTCATTAGACGAGACCAGGAGAACCTCGTGTCGTAAGTTCGACGGGGTTCGTACCATTGTAGAACCACTTTTCCCACTCCTCTTGCGGTGAACTTTGGGGTTCTCTTCTTGTTGATATGATGGGATCTTTCCTTTCCCCTTTTTAGAATACCCTCCTTCGTTGGCCCCGGACATCCCGTAAGTTTCTAGGGCCTGCGCGCTTCGCCATGTGATTTTTCCAGAAGCTGTGCTTTCTTCGATGGTATCTGGCCCCCGCTCTCGGTGCTCGAGCTGTCTCTGAGGACCACGGCTCGTGGTTTCTTTTGATTCCATGGAGAGCGTCGAGCTGCTCTGACGAGATCGGAGACGGGGCCTGCGCCAATGTTGATGCTCGTGTATTTCCCCAAAATCGTGAGGTCGGTGCTTGTTGGGCCTGAATGGGATGCTGTAGTATCGGGTTAAGGAGTCAGCGTCGATGTCACGTCCTGCAGTGTCCGGCGAAAGCTGTTCGACTGTGTACCCCGAGCTGTGGTCCCGAATATTGCGATCTTGGTCAATCCTTCTTGAGGAGAAGTCGGTACACCCACCGTGTATTGGGGAAATGATGCACGGGGGCTCATGATGCAGGCAGTATTGGGCCATCTTCAGAAGTGTTCTTGTTGATGAAGGTAGTTTCTTGAGTGAGTTGGCTATTGGCGTCATGCGGTAATTTGGGTAGGACCGCCTACACTATGCTCGACAAGACTAAGGATCCTCATTACTATTCACTCTTAGCCTTACGTTGATAGTGCAAAGGTAAAGCAGGCTGTTCTTCCTCTGATATCTGAACATTGTCAAGGGAGCGGCAGAAAGAGGGCCTGGCCAAGGACGCTGTTCGCGGTTGGGGCCGTGCCTGAGCACTCGGGCTAGTCGAACATCATGTATAAGTACACACTCGTAGGAACTCACTAAACGAATCCTTCTTTGAACAATGAAAATGGTTCGACTACTGGGACTGGGCATTGGATATAGAACTTAGAAGGTTAGACAGCCTTTCCCCCCAACTTTCGAACTGGCGGCGGCGACAACAGGAAGTTGGCTGACCAGCTGGTTCTCCCGTAATTTATCAACCAAATAAATTCTCTGTTGAGCAATCTTACGACCCGCCGAGACTTCGCTCTGGGATAGGGAGGGAGCGCGGGGTTCCCTGAATTGCGATGAAGCTGATAGAGAAAAAGAACATTCCTCATGACCACGTTCCGCTCGCTATGATTAGGATCGCAGAAGTAAGTACTAGGCGTACGATGCGGCTGCTGTTGATGAGCAAAATCTCAGTAGAGTGAATTGCCTGCCCAACAAATACGTCACCAACTTTGGCAATCGTCACTAGTTCAAAGAGCTCCATCTCTGCTACACGCTTCGCTCATCTTGATCGCGGCAGAGTGCCGATGATGGTGCTGTGTTTGCGTAGACTCCGTAAGTTCCCATGCAGAGCTCCTAAGACATCGTAGACGCGGGCGGTGACATAAGAGGTGTCTTGCCTACTAATGATCGGATCTCATTCGGGCTTGAGACACTCAGTGACTCTGCAACTACTCCTAGCTCGTATTTTTTGGAAACACACTTGGGTGATGCTATTGTGGACAAGCAGGGGATCTCACAGTCAAGGCAACAAATAGATGAACGCGACTTCCACTGCGCAACAATCACTCATAGACTGGCTGTACTTCATAACTCTAGTGGATGCTATAGGGATACAGAAGGTACAAATGATAGCTATTATTATGTTGCCTCACAAGCTCCCGGAAGACTAATCCAGACCTCACAAAAGTTTCCAATGTACCATTATTGTTTTCTCCTCGATGAAAAGCTCAGGTGGCTTCTTAGTGCACTATGAGCGGTAAAGCGACCTCATCCGGACTCTGAGAGAGTCCTGGTCTTCAGTACTTTGCACGATCTTCGAGTGTGTCCTTCGTACCATCATGGGAGATGCTGTAAACCTTCATGTCGTCTTCCGTCGGTACCCAATTCTTAGGGGCTCGATAGTGTTCCCGCGGTTTCCCGTTGGAGGTCGTGTATGGCGCCGACGTCTCGAGGTCCTTCCCCCCTTCATTTTCCATCTGCGGCTCGTCTGCTCTTTTCAATAGCTGGTTACGGCACCGTGTTGAGCAAGTGAGAAATTTCGCACCCGTCCACGGGCGTGCTTTTCCGCAGACTAGGCACTTCATTGTCGTTGTTTCTAGTCCGATCTGACTAAGCTGAGGGGCGCGCATTAGTTCTCTCGGAGTGGGATCATCCTCAGCCAAATGGGCCTGTCCGTCGCAACGAGATGGATCACGACCGTCTTGCCTGTCGTTAGACGTATGACTGTCGGTTTCGCCGTTGTTGTGTTGACTCATTTTCAGATAGGTTTCAAGGTGCTTGGCACTGATTTGCTTGTTTTCTGAACCGTGTTGGCGATTGACAACGTTTCTTTCGGTGCAGTGTTTGATGAAAATACGTGGATATCTCCTATGCTGTGTGACCGACACGTCTTTTGATATTGGGTTTATATGTACTTAGCTCAGGTGAATTAGATCAGAAATTTAGAGACAAAAGTATCTGTTCATTCTTTGATACTTGAATACAGCTAAAGGGCGAAAGGCAGCTGTTCGTCTTTGACGTCTGAACAGCAGCAGGCTCGCGAGACAGCAAATAAACCATGCCAGACCGTCAGTCTTCCTGATGATGTAGAAGTAGACAGCGGAAAAAACGTAGCTTTCCAGGTACTTGGAATTACATGTCGTTTCTCTGAGAGAACCTTACCGCTGCCGGCTTGAGGTCACTCCCATGGATTCGTGATACCCGCGATGCGCAATCCCACATCGTGGACTTGTCTTGACAGTTCTCGTCGACCACCTTACTTTCCTGACCGTGGCACTTGCTGATGATATATAGATGACGGCTTACCCTCTACGAGTTTGAGCGGACTCGCCGAATGCCCGCGACATCGGAGAAATGCTACATGGAAATAATGACCGTAGTTAGGCTACGGGCGAAAGCGCGACTTGGGCCCTAGAGCCTCAATCGGTTCCTGGTAAGGTGCTTATGAAAAGCAGAGGAGCGGATGGCTGTGGTCACCATCTTGCACTGAGGCATTACCAAAACATGGACTCGTATTCTAACTGAAACTTTTGCCAGTGAGGATAACTTGCTGCACATCCAACAAACAACGCCAATGACTGAATTGAAACTATAATGGCATAGAGCCCATCCAACAACACGAACTCGACGCCTCGCTCTACAAGCCTCATAACAATACCCATAGCTTCAATATCTCGATTCTAGTTCATTCTCGGTGAGGAACTCGGATGATTTGTTATCGATGTAACCTGGAAAGACCCCATGAAGAGCTATTTGATGGCCTCGATCCCCGGGCGTCTTTACGGCCTCACGGCATCTTCGCCATAGATTTTCCGGGTTCCGGCTTCAAGCTTACGGAGTTCCGTCCTTGTACAACCTCTGGGTTTGCCTTCCGGCCAGTTTGAATACGGGTCATGCTACTCTTCAACTGGGGAATGTCTTCTATTGCGTACGTCCAGCTCGCCCTGGTTGAGTGGTTCGACTCGATGGGCCTGTCGATTGGGAGGGGTTGAACGATGATGGTCGTTTCCCTGGCTGGACGAAGCATTGCCCCATATTCTGGTAACTTTCTTGTCGAGATTAAGATGTCTTCTCACGCAAGGCGATGGGATTGAGGATGACTTTTGCACAGCGTCTGGGAAAAGTTCTACACATGTAAGCATGCTATGCAACCAAGATTTATTTATCGATCGGCTTCATGTATATTGGAGTTCAGTTCGTAGATCAATGTTACTGTCTGTCCTTTGATGTTGAACAAAGTGATGAGAGTGGGAAAGACAGCTTTTCGTTCTTTGACGCATGAACAGGGCCAAACGGCAAACAAACTGTGTCAGACCGCCCAATGTCTTGTAGCACCTGAAGAATTGCGTGTTTGATACTGGGTCCTGTAAGATACATCAGCCTGGCATGGATAGTGGTTTCAAATTTACACACGGCGATGGATTTCATCGAGTTCTGTGATGAATAAAAGAGTAGTATAATTACACTTGATATTCGTTTTCGCCATAAACTTCCTGTGTCAATGATAGTTACGAAGTACTAGCTAAGCTTATACTTGAATCACACCATTGAAGAAAGCTGTGATTACCTGCTAATCCTTACGGCTATTAACTCTTCACTCTCTAACTTACAGCATGAAGGATCTAGGCCAGGCTGATGTGTTTGAGCGTATAGGACCCATCGCTAATCAGCAATTCCATCAGCAATTCACAGGAAGGACCGACCGCGAAATATCATCGTTATTTCATCAGCAACACGAGTTGTCAATGTTTTGTTATTGTATTGTGCTCGATGAGAAGCCTAGTTGACTCCCCGTTGATCTATTCCCAGGAGTCTTGTTACTCTATTCAGAACTCCGAGAAGGCTCTGAGCCCCGGTAATTCATATCATCTTCCAGCTCGTCTTCTATGAGATTGTCTGATGTTGGCTTTAGGGCATCAGATGCAAGCTCCGCTTCGATCAGGAGTCTCGTCGTATCTCTGTTTGAACTGTATTGAAACTTTTGCTGTTTCCCCTCACTGCGCGGGTCCCGTCTTCCCATGAAATGAACGCCTGGGCAACTGTCTCTTACATGGCAGATGTCTCTGGTACCGAGTATGAGACCGTCAACTGTAGGGACTGGTCCCTTGTCGTAATCTGTTGGGACATCTTTGCCTTTAGGATGGATGGGTTGTACCAATTCCTCACCTTTCCGGTACAAAGACCAGTGATATTTCTCATGGCAATGAATTGGATTATCGCACGTTGTCTCCGTTTCCTTCAGTGGAGTTGTCTTGACTGGTGCCTTGTAGCCTGGCGGTCTGGGTTCGGGATGGATTGGGTACACCAATGTATCGCCTTTCCAGTATAAATACCAGTGGAACTTGTTTTCGCACTTCTCTTCCTCATTCTCTTTCTTGCTGGATGACGCAAGCATATTGCACTCAGGTCTGTCATCATTCCGTTCATTCATTTCTCTGGTGACACCTGGATTGATCGAAATTCAGATGTAAGGTACGTTCTCCAAGTGTGAGGACGATTGAAGACAAACTCTTGCGCAATGTTTGATGAAACTATCATCCAAGACCGCAAGACTTCCATTTATCATGTTTATATAGTACAGATTTGCATTGGTCTCTCAAAAAGAGCCAAACGCCGCTATTCGTTCTTTGATACCTGAACATGGTGGATGGAGTGTGACAAGAACTTGGTTGTTCTTTGACGCGTAAATCACAATGGGACCAATTAAATATAGCCTCGCTACAAAGGGGGGCGGCTACCAGGCTGGCCCCTAATTAACAAGACGGCGAGCGAGGGCAATCGAACTGTGCCGAACTATTGGACGTCTCACTATGCCAGCAAATGATATGGAAAGAAAACGAAGCTTATCATAACTTGAAATTAATTGTCATATATCATTCTATGTACAGCATTAAGGTAACAGTCTATGCTTTCCCAAATCCCAAAACAAGGTCTATCAATGTTTAGAACGCCCACTGTCTGCACCAATTTTGCATCAACTCAGGTGTCACGGCCTGCATCTCCTTCATCGTCTTGCTGCTCTTTGTCGTGCGCTCCATTGAGAATTCGACACCCTGTCCCTCGCCCATAGCCAAACCCTGGTAGAAGTCAAGCAACTTGATGCCGGGGTTCTTGTCAACGTCATCTGTGGTCGCCGTGCTGTTCTCCAACAGCTCAACCCACTCCTTGAAGGATACCAACTTCTTGATGACACCGTCACCGTAGAACTCCCTGACGGCCTCAGCCAGCGTCTCCCAGGGTACAGTGCGCGGGTTTACGCCGTGGAAGTAGCCGTTGATCTTCTCCAATGACACGGGGGCAGCAATACCAGAAACCTCTAGGATGAGGTTCGCGATACCTTCAATGGGTGTCCAGTTGACGGTCGCCATGGCGCCGAGGTCACGCGGCAGTGCACCGAGGTACTTCGAGCTAGCGATGATGGTAGGGAGCCACTCCTGGCGGTTCCATACACCGTCCTTGGACTGCGGGCCAGCGACCTGTCCGACACGGACGACAGCGGCGGGCACGCCCGAAACCTGCGTCGCCTCATCGAGGATGAGAGAGCTGACCATCTTAGAGCGACCGTAGCCGGTGCTCGGCAGGGACAAATCCATCAGCTTCTTCTCCGGCACGGGGCCGGGGCCCTGCCAGGTATCAACGGTGCCGATAGAGCTCACGAAGACGATGGGCACGTTCTTGGCAGCGCGGAGGGAGAAGTCGACCCAGTGACGGACGCCACGGATGTGCGGCTCAAAGGTCTCGACTGAGATGTTGAAGTTGACGGGCCAGGCATTGTGGATGATGCGGTCTGCCTCCTTCAGGAGACGGTCGTAGACTTCCGGCTCAAGGCCGAGATTGCTCTTGGACATGTCGACGCAGAGGAATTCTGCCTTCTTCCAGGTGGTGGCGAGGCCGCGCTCGGCGGACATCTTGACCTGGCGCTTCCCGCTGTCATCGCTGCGATTGAGGCAGACGACCTTCGATACGGCGGGGTTGTGTTCCATGAAGTCGAGGAGGTAGGAGCCCAGGGCGCCGGTGGTGCCGGTGACGAGGACGGTCTGACCCTTATCGTTTGGCGCGGGCTTGGAGCCAGCACTGCTTTTGGGGAGGTCGCGGGTGTACTTTTGCAGCTGTGCCTCCATGGCGTGGATATCATGGTTTTCACTGTCGCCGTTGCTGTCTGAAGAGGTGTTCTTACTGACGCGGTCCATGAGGTAGGCAGCCAGCTGGCGAGGGGTGGGATGGGCGTAGATAACGCGAGTTGCGATGGCATCGGCAGTGATGTTTGCGCCGGCGGCCTCGAGGCCCTTGCGGAGGAGACGGGAGGCGTTGATAACCTGCATGGAGTCGATGCCAGCGCTGAAGAAGTCCGAGTCGGCGGAGAGGGCGCGGCTGCCGAGGGTCTGCTGGAAGAGCTTCTCGATGGAGTCGATCATTCCTTGCTGGGAGGAGACGTCAATGTTGACGGACAGGGAGTCGGCGCCGTCCTCAGCCTTGCTATACCACGCGTCAAGCTCGTCCTTGTAGAGCTTGAGGGCCATAGGTCGCTGGATGGTGCCCTTGCCGGCACGGGGGAAGGGCTTCTCTGGGTTGGTGACGCCGATGAAGGCGCGGCCGATCTGGCCGTGAGCGACGGTCTCCTTGTTCGCCTTGACGACCAAAGGCCAGACGTCGTCGATGAATTGCTGGATATCATCCTCGGAAGTCAAGGGTTCGGTGGGTTCGAGGATGAGGAAGGGCTGGAAGCGCATGGCGCCGGCGACGACGGCGCCCTTGA